AAATACCGAGATCTTACGGGAAATCCACGAGGGAATCAATGCCCAACACTTGGGCAGAAGATATATGGAACGAAAGGTGCTACGAGAAGGTACTATTGGCCCATCATGCAGCAAGACACGAAGGAGCACGTCAAAAACTTCGACAAATGTCAAAGACACGCAGACATGCATCTCACACCCCCACACGAACTTAAAACATTGTCGCCCCTGTGGTCGTTCGCCTAGTGGGAATGGACATCCTCAGACCATTCGTATAAGGATCATATCAAAATAAATTACTAATTGTGGTTGTCGACTATTTCACAAAGTGGATATGGGCCAAAGCCCTAGCCAAAATCACATCACACAACATCCTTTGTTTCTATAAATGAAACGTTCTTGCCCGATTCGGCATACCACAGAGGGGCACAGTTCACTGACCAAAGCTTCCAAGACTTCATCACCAAACTCGGCACCAAATAGCACTTCACGTACGTCGAACACCCTCAAACCAACGGGCAAGCCGATGTCGCGAATAGATTCATCTTGAAAGGACTCAAGCGCGGGTTGGGCGAATCCAAGAAGGGGTGGGTCGAAGAGGTGCACAACGTCCTGTGGGATTACCAAACGACACTACACTCGATGACCAACGAAACCCCATTTCGACTAACCTATGGCACCAAAGTCGTAATTCCCGTGGAAGTCATAGAGCCATTCTGACAAACTGAAGTCCCTTTTGACGAGGAACTGAGTGACGAGGCCCTAAGGGAAGAGATTGGCTTGGTCGAAGAAATCCGATCAGGAGTGGCTCTTCGCGAAGCCACACTGAAACAACAGATAGCCCTACGTCATGACATCAAAGTCATAAAACACGAATTCCAGGTCGGAATTCTAGTCTTGCAGAGAAGTCAGAAAGATTCCCATGAAGGAAAGTTGGCCGCCAACTAGGAAGGACCTTACCGCGTCCACGGGGCAATGGGCACTGGAGCCTACCACCTCGAAAGCCTAAGTGGAGAACCACTACCTCGACCATGAAACGCTACAAACCTGAAACAATATTACAACTAGGTCTCTGATAAATGTTGGGGCATGACAGTCGATATACCCTCTCCAACAAACGATAGAGCTTGCTCGACCATAGAAGCATGTTGAGGTACAAACATAGCCTCCAACCAATAAAGAAAGGTGGTTTTTTTTTTCTCATTGGTCGAGCAGAAGCTTATCCCGATGGGGACACCTTGTCCGAGCTCCATCGTCGAAGTACACAATAGGCATAACACCTAGCTCGTGATGGGTAGTTCACATCACGAAGTCAAGACCCCGACCATAATCTTGACCTCGTTCCTATGGACTCCTGCTTCGCTTCCTCGACACATCACAACATGTGTCGACCACAACTAAAGTCGAGCACAAACCTCCACTTATCGAAATTCCACATTTCACAAAATAAATAAATCAAGCACAACGACAAGAAAATATCTAACATACAATAGAAAGAAAAAATAAATGCATTTTCAAGAGTCGACCATGAAGGCCAGCATTGTCCAAATATTACAAAATATGGGGCACGCAGACCCGATTGAAATATAATCGGGCGAAGCCCTTGTCAAAAGTTTACAAAAATATGGGCACGCAGACCCCCAATCCAGATGAAAACAAAAACGGGCACGCAGGCCAAATTAACGAACGGGCACGCAGGCCCGGAAACTTAATCTCGGCTCTCATCCTCGTCCTCACTCTCTTCCCCAGGATTGTCTCCGGGGGGATAAAATATCTTCTCGTCGACCACCTGGTTAAACAGCCCCACACCTTCGACCACCAGCTCGACCTTTTGGTTAAGGATCTTGAGCTGCTCCACGGCCGTGTTGAAGCCATAACTGAGAGTGTCCATGACGTCTTGTTCAAGCACACAACTCCGAGCGATCAAATATTTCCTAGTCTCAAGGGCTTTCTCCATGTCAGTCTCTTCATCGACAGGCGCCACGATCTCCTCAACTCCTTTATCCGAGCGGCCAGTCGCTTGTTCTCCTTAGTCGCAACTTATAATTTAGGCCTTAGCTCATTCAAATCTTTGAGGAGTTGGACCTCCGCTTCGTACTTCATCTCATGGTTGAGGATATCACCCTTCAGCTTTTCATTAATTCCCTTCAACTTTTGGATTCGGGAATACGCTTTATCAAGAGCGGCCTAAGAGCCTGCATCCTCATCATTCAGCATCAAAGCAGTTTCATGAACCCTCGTCACGGCGGCCACATCTTTTGACAGGTTCTTCCGTCGGGTTTCTTTGTCCTCAAACAATATGGCTTCCCTCTCCTCCTCTTGAAGACCTAAGGAACTCTCCCCGCTGAAGATACCTCGGATGAGATAGCAGGAGGGCAACACGAAAACCACCCAGGCACCCTTGTCCCCTTCGAAAATCACCACATGCTCGAGTCCTCCACGAATTTCCTTTTCACCGGTTGTCGGGAGGGGGGGCCTGGGTCCCTGAAGGGGAAGATGAACTACTTGGACGGGCAGAAGTTTTGGCCTGTTCATGAAGCTGAGCAACCCGATATTTAGGCCCCAAGTTAGATGCACTCTTAGACCTCAACTTGAGAAAATGTTCAGAGAGAGTCGCCATCCGATCTGTAATAAAGAAGAAACTGCCAGCCACAAGACAAAAGTACAAACATAAAATTATGGGCATGCCCCCTACCTAGAAGTCTCAAAGCCTCCTCGTCAGAGGAGCACTCGAGGAGCGCTTTCGTTGTAATCATTCTGGGAGAAAAGAGATGCTCTCTTTTATCGTCAAAGAGGAAGTTATTGTCCATGTCCACACAATTCGTCAGAGAGAAGCTCTTGACATAAGTCGTCAGCTTATCGTAAGAGAGCTGATCCTTGGTGTTTGAGTCCTCAGGCTTCCCCGTGTAATACTCGGGCTTCTGCTCAAAGTGTTTCCATTGCCACTCAAGAGGAAACCTCACCGTTAGTCGAGCCACTATCTGACCACCCTCGACCTCTTCCGAGCAATCTTACAAAGAATTCATGGCCGCATTAGTAAGAGGCTTCACAATGAAATACCTCTTTTTGAAGTTGCGCATAAATTCAAGGTACGGTTGAAAGAGTTTTGCGAACTCTTTGAATGACACCCAGGCTTGTCGCCCTCCAATGGTCTGTCGTTGTATGTGAAAGATACGAAAGAACAGGGTCAAAGTGGCACCAATCTAGAGATATTGGCATACTAGCTCGAACGCTCGCATGAACGCGAGCGCATTCAGATGAAGTTGAGAAGGTGGCAGTTGCAACCATTGGAAGACCCCCATTGGAAATCGTTGAAGGGAAAATGAATACCCACTTCTTTAAAAGCAAACTCATACATAGGGAAGCGTTTCCCCGGGAATGCCGAGCATATCCTCCGATTGCGATGAGGGATTTGAAGCACCCAGCTGGCAGGGGCACCCTCTGCTCGGTCCTCAGGGACATTGAACGCATCAGAAGCGTCCTGTAAAAAACATGACCTTTTACCCCGGGGCTCGAACGTGACCCAAGCCAAAGGATCATCCGCGACCATAGTGTCACCCTCGTTGGTATCGGGCATGATGTCTTCCTCGACTTGGTGTGCCATTGTACTTGAAAAGCAGGAGAAAACAGTGAATTCGACATCATCAAATTCACCCTTTCACCGTAAATCAAGTGAAAGAGCGATGAATGCATCGAGGAATGGACCTCGACCCAAGCCCTCAACAACCAACACCAAAATAATCGACGTCCTACGCGGGGACATTTCGTCGAACATGCAAGTTGCCCAAATCCTCTCTACTATTTAGGGGGGACGACCCCGACGCGAGTTAGAACTAAGTTGACTACATGAACCACCTTATCATGGCGAGCATCATCTTTGGGCTCCCGCCAATTAGCCTACTATAGTTTGATATCACAGAACTAGAAGGTGGATCAAAGGGTGCTTACACAATTCCTCCAAAAATAAAGACTGAGTACATGTTGTTTTGGCGTTATGTCATCTAACGTTGCATTTAGATACTAACTCAGTTTTAAAGTGTAAAACTATTTCGGAGGGGAGTTTGAAAATGTGCATTCAAAGCCTTTGTAACAAAGCCGTAGTATTACAAGTACATTTAGTATCCAAGAAGCTAAGAAAAAAGCCTGCGGTCAACATTGACATGGGTCTCACACCAAATGCATTTCAGGTTGAAAGATTTTGAGCAATATATCATTGTAATTGGAGAGAGCTATGATTAATAAGAGCTTGAAATCCTTTTGAAGAAGAAAATGTGACAATCTGCGAGATCAGTCCTTCCACGACAAAAATGTTTTTGCAGCTTGTTAATGACTTGCTTTACTCTAATGAAACAACAACCTAAGTGTTCCCCACAATTCACTATCCAGATCAAATGACAAGTATTAATACGTTGAAACTAGACCTTGAAAACATCCACATAAATCTTTTTTCTTATGGTTCCACCTAGAGTTTTTCTTAATCCTCCTTTGCTTTTTAACTATATGTCTATTTTTCATCAATATACTCTTTTTATTAACAATTACAAAATATAATTGATTAAAAATATGAAGAACACATAGTAAGGCTGAAGTCGGGATCTAAGGTCAATCCCTCTATTCAAAATGTTAAAATATCCAAAGAGTAAAATCATCTCCCCTTACTTTAATGAAGAGAATTTACAATCCAACTTAACAAACATTTAAAAATAAAACTCACGGAAATGAGAGTGAACCAGTAGCATATAATTTTATCAAGAGGATAATTTGAATCATAATAGAAAACAATGCGTCGGCAAGTGCGTCTTTGACAGGACATAACAATGATTGAATAAGTGAAGGCTGAAGTCAGCCTAAACAAGTAGATTACATGAACCGTCACTCATGGCTAGAACCACAACCGACAAGAAACAACCCTTAAGCAGCGGCTGACATATATGTAGTTAATATGTCACTAAATCAGTGTTGGCTTCCATTTATATGTCATTTTCCTTTCACCTTCCATCATGTGTAATAACTCCAACATCCTATTGTTTTCTTTTCAGCCCACGAATAAAGCATGTAGAGTGATTCTTGACAGTTTCTTCAACCAGCAGCTTAGAATGCTGATAAAACAGTCAAAAAGTATGTTAGGAATTTAAAAGAATATAGAGAGGTTAAAAAGTGATAATGGAAATTCAGTCCTATGATCATAAAGCAGATGGAAAACAATAGCACATCAATCACCAACTTGAAAGAAACTCTTCCGCATAAAGGTCAGCAAAACATGTGACAATAGAAAAATATCAATCAACCGTACAAACAAAATTAGCAAAAATGTACTCGAAACAGTGTAAACAAAATCAAAACAACAATATAAAAACAAAAACAGATTCAGTAAAAAAACATAATCAACTTAAGCAATCATAAAACCTGTAAATTCAAATAAGTAAACCATGGATCATGAACTTACTTTCATCGAAATTAAGCTTTCAACATAACCATTGGCAAAACGCATGTATAAATAATTGCGATTTTTATCATCAATAATAGTTTTGTGCACATTAACTTCTATTCGCTGCGCACTATTATCTTTCCAATTATAAATAATTGCTTCCCCTTCATCACAAGTAGTACGGCACAATATTAATGAATCACCATCCTTAGAAAGAAACAATGGCAATAATTGAAGACGATTGTAACTGAAGTCATAGTATAAGCGAAGAACGTGATAGCTAATTTTAAGAAATTGAATCCAAGACTCTTGAATTCCAAATTTCTCCATCTTCCATATAACCATATCGGTTCCCTTGTGAAAATAAGAAAAACAAAGCCATTCCCCCAACACACTAATGGTTGGCTCTACAGGTGGCAGCTCATCAAAACCCTTAGGCAATAGAAATCGATTGTATGTCTCCGACCCCAGATGAAGTGAAACAATAACAAGGTCGTCAAGAGTAATGTCCCTTATAAGAGAAGCCCAATTGCTGTGGAAGTTCGGTGCGTACTCGTTGTGGAGGTCCTTCTGGATGTCCTTGTGAATAGCCAACCAATTAAGAGTACTATTTAAAAACACACAACCATCCGACCAAATACTCCTCCAACGTTGATATTCAAAAGCAAGAGGAACAATGGGAAAACTATCAATATTTTTCCAAACATTATCAGCAATAGTAAAAACTTTCACCTGGCTTGTATATCGACCCTGGACGAAGCTGTACGCAACGACTTTAAAAGTGCATGTGGAATCATCACAGGCAAATTTGAAGGTAAAGCCTGATCTGGAATGATGAGAATATCCAAATTGTTGAGATATTTTTCTAGTGGCTGGGTTCCATAATCGGAACCAGTAAGTATCATGGGTGTAAGAGTAATCAAGATAAAGCAAACAGAGTAATCCATTGCAGGAACCAATGAAGCGAGAGCCAGGGTAATCCCAATCGGTTAAAAAATAATGAGAAGAATCAGTGACAATGGTGGACGAGGGGTTATGAAATAAACGAGTTATAGGGTATGGAATGATACTCCAATCACCGTGGTAACTTCTTTCTCCCTCGATGGGTGTGAGGTGCTGAGTGATTAGTGTGAAGTGTGTATTTCCTGATCTCGTTGTTCTCTTGAGATGGAATTTCTCAAAACTAGGATCGGAAATGAGAGTGTTCCAAGAATTACTTACACATTTGAATCGAACAAGAGGTTTTACAGCAAGTAATGAAATGATCTCGACGATGAGATCGTCGGGGAAGAACACCGGCCTCGACATAGTTGATTTTCTATTCATACTATTCGATACTTATTCAAACAACTTTTGTTTATCAATAAATTTCTACCCTAACTAACTGCCTTAACCCTAATTTTCAATTAATCTGCTCCGCCCCTTAAAATTAAGAAGTCAATAATAATTTACAAAAACAGATCATTTTATTAAAAAACGAAATATTTATTATTTAAAAAATAAGAATTAGCGAACAAATAGTTCATGGGTTATTGACTAAACGATTTATTGGGCATGGGATGATACTTTAATCATTGTCTCGTAATCATATCTTCATTTGATATGTTTGAGGTGATTATGGATTAATGTGAATTATGGATTTGGTGATGTTGTTGATCTTTTGAGATGAAATTTCACAAAAGATAGATCGAAAATGAGAATTTTCCAAAAATCGAAGAAGAGGTTTTATATAAAATAATTAAAGGGTTTTGTAGCGGTAAGAATGTTTAAGACTAAGCCATTAGATTGACTAGACTTATAGAGATCAAAATAGAAATCGTCACCGCGCTTTATTATTTTCAAAGGAATTGGAAAAGAGTGAATAGCCCAAAAAGAGGGGGAAAATTCAAGGTAAGGGGGTTGGTTATGCAAATGAATGTATTAGCACCATAAATATCTACGGTACTCCACAAGAACCTCTTTGAAAAAATCTGTATATTTTGGCTACAAAATATTGTATGAAAAATAGATGGTGGAGGTGAGAAAAGAAATATATTTTTTATGATTTTTGCACCTGCCGCGATTGCGAACCTTTAGTGCCTACGTACCACCTTTCGTGCAATAGGGGATTATGGTACACATAGTTCACCTTTTTAAAAATTTTAAAACACAAATGTGTTGGTTAATTTTATGAGATAAGACATCATCGTCATTGTCGGTGTGGAAAACATACTTACTACCCACAATCATGAGAAAGGAGAATTTGCATCATCTCAAAGTGGAGGATATGACTTGGATTTTAAAAATCAACAATGTCTCACTCAACACCCAAGTGGAAAATATCTCTTTTCACTACATATTATAGAAGTATAGTTGTTTGCATCACTACAAAGATTGACAGGAGCCTAATCTTTTGAGAAAAGTTTTAAAATAAAAAGCTAAAGTGACAAAATAGTTTGAAATGAGATTGATTGACTTTTAGTCTTCTCACAAAAAATGTCAAAGTATTATTAAGTTGATTGAAGTTTATTTATGAAAATATTTTGAAAATTCATGGACATAAGTCCAAGTTTGTTATGAAAATGGTTCAAGTTTCAAAACAAGAAGAGTTTTCAAAAGGAGGAGGGAGATTTTTGAAATTAAAGAAGATGGGAGGAGAAGAAGGGACTATCCTAAAGCATAAGGTAAAAGCTAGGGATAAGAACCATCTAACCAACAAAAAGCCAATACTTGACATTATGAGTCAAGATAGAATTCTCATTCTTTGGATTGAAATCAACCAATCAAAGATACTATACCTCTTGAGAGAACCAAACTTCAAGTGTATTAAGTCTTCATAAAAATTGGACAGAGTAACGGCTGTATACGGGTGAATTTCAGATTACAAACAAATAATGTAATCACAATAATCTGCACACAAAACAAACAAACAACCCAATATCCTGATGTAAACCTCAAGAACTCCAGACAAAATATCAATTAAGGTCATAAGGTCTTCAACAAAGGTCAATGCCTCTAATCCTAAGTCCAAAAAGTCCAATACTTCACAATGCCAAGGATAGTAACCAAATAGTCCAAGTATCATTAAAGCATTTTATGGTTCATGTTGATTATTAGGTGTCTTAAAAGAGAAAAGAAAAGCTCAAGTGAGCAAAATAAAAATAACAAGAATATAAATGCTCAAGTGAGCAAAATAAAAATAGCATGAAATGTAACGCTTAAAGTAAAGGTACATAAAACATAAAGTAAAAACGATTTAATAATTAGTGGTTAGTTGGGTGACCATCTTAAAACTTGCATTTAGAACTCATTAGAGGATTGGTAGAACCAAAGCCTCCACACAACAAGTTGCATTTGCTTTTTGTTAAGTATATCATCCATTTGGAATCCTCAAAAGTACCTGTCATACCCCAATTTTTGACCTAAGATTCCTGCTTCATCTGCATTATTTTACATACACATCAAGGTCACAGAATACGGTAGGTTTCGAACGTTTCGCTTTCGAGCTTTGACTGTGTAGAGATTACCGAGTGTTATGAGCATTTTATTTTATGAATGACTAACCACTAATCAAGCACGAAGTGCATGTTTTGCTGTTTTGTTTTCAGGTGCAGAAAATAGGTCTGAAAGAAGAGCATCAAACGTTGTACGCCGATTAGGGTTTCGAGTCTCAGAACAGAAATGTTGTCGTTAGTTAATTTCCAAAAGACTGGTTCATCAAATAATTTCAGAGAATTGTGCGTTTATTTCCACATTTTGTCCAGCAAATGGTCTCCGTTTTCTTCGAATATTTTTCAGGAAGAACAGTCAAAATTCTACCGGCTTTGGTTCATGTGTGTTTCACATTGTTCTAAAATACAAGAAAAAACAGGTTATACCATCATTTTTTATTTCTTGGACCAAAAGTCATCAACAAATTTTCTCATTATGCGGGTTGAATTTCGTCAAAATGGGATAATTAAATTCAAAACTGTTCTAGAAGAATTTATTCGGAATATTCGAAATATTTGGATTTTTCTTTATTTGAATCCAAATGATAATTAAAGAGGAGCTATCAAGAGATTTCATCCAAGAATATTCATTTATCACATGGAATATTTATTCAAGATTATTTTTGTGATTATTTTGGTGGGTCTACATCATGGTTATTTAAATACATGAAGCATTATTTCAAGAAAGTTAGTAGGTAATTCTATTTAATTACATGAGGAATTCTATTTGATTACAAAATTAATCCATGTGATTTATTTGGATTTCTATTACAAAAGTGCAAGATTAAAGTCCAAGACTTGCATTATTATTTATTCTTCATTCAACAATCCATCCAAGTATTATTCAATTATTTCCCAAATTTAAATGGAAGATCTTGAATTTTTATCAAGATATATCAAGATTCATGTTTATGTGAAGATTCAAGATTATTCATAACTATCAAAGGAAGTGGAAATATATTGAAGAATGTATGTTTATTCCTGTCACAATTTATTTGGGTTTATTACAAGGTTGCAAAGAAGCTACAAGTGTGTACAAATGTATTTTCAACACTAAAAAAAAATTCAGCAAAGTTACTAATGCAGTCCACTTTGCAACCCATCTTCAAGCCCAATTTTGTTGTATTTTTGTTGGTCAACAATGCTCCAAACAGCTTGAAAAAAAAACAGCAAAGAGAGATGTTGTAAAATGCTACAAATAGTAAAAAACAGCAACATACAGCAGCTCCAAGTGCTTCCAAAATCTGCTCCAACCTGCATCAAAGTAGCAACAGTTTGCATCAAAATGGCTAAAATAATTTTTGTGAACAAAGCATGGAAACAACTTGCCAAAACAGTTCAAATTTCTACTGTTTTCCCCCCTCAAATCTCACACACTCCACTATAAATAAGAGCCTTTGTCAACACAAATAAAAAAGAAGAAAAAATTCAGCAGTTGAAGAAAACAGAAAAATTGGTGTTGTTCTAAAAAATTTCAGCAAGTAAGAAAAAACAGAAAAAATAGAGTCTTTGTTCTAAAAATCCAGCAAGGAAGAAAGCATAAGCAAATTCAAGAAAACTTACCATTTTGTTAGAAGCCCCATCGGAGAGGCTCCGATAGGTATTATTCTTTTTCTCCTCTCTATCTACTGCTGCATATATTCATGCTTGAATCACTTGTTGTACAATTTTTTCTTTGCCATACAATATTTGCCTTATCATTCTTTTCTTTGTTGTACTGTATTTGAGTTGAGTTGCTGCATGATTGTTAGCATTTAAACATGTTAGTATTCATAATATCGGTAATAATAACAAGTGTAATAAAAATCTTACTTCTTCCGTCGCGTAACACCAATTTAGAGCTTGTTGTCCGGTTTATCACTTGCTGTCTGGTTTATCACTTGCTGTCCGGTTTATCACTTGCTGTCTTGTTTAGAATTTTCTGTCCAAAAAACATGTTGTCCAATTTGCTGTTACAAAAATCCAAACAAAAAAAAAACCATTTTGCTGTTACAAAATCCAAAAACCATTTTTGCTGTTACAAAATCCAAACACCATATGATGTTGCAAAGTCCAAAAAAACCACTTGCTGTCCCAAAGAACTTGTTGTCCAACTTGCTGTCCAAATGTTTAACCCATTCAAAAACCAAAACACAATCTGTTCAAAATGGTATAACCTGCAAAAATCCAAAACAGCAGCTTAAAATCAACAATCAGTCATCATCATTTTCATAATAAAAAAAACTTTTCAATCCAAAAGCATAAACCTATCAATACAACAAAACCAACATAAAGCCAGCATACAAAATCAAAACAGTACCAAATCTTGAAACCCTTTAGAAACCATTGTTTCCAAAAAACCTCAAGCTGTTTAAAATCAACATAGTACATGTCGTTCAATCTCGTCGTCGTCACCCTTACCTTCTTTTTTTTCCAGCCAGATCCCAACCAGTTTAACCGGTCACCGGTGATGGTGCAACTCGGCAACGGTGTTCATGCTCACAACGGAAACCTTGTTTTTACTTCAGCTTCATTGCTTGTTTCAACTGGTTCAAGTTTTCTTTTTTTTGTTGTTTTCGTTAGCATGGAAGAAGAGAGAGGAAGAGACGGATCTGTATGCAAAAAGAAAGCAAGAAAGAGGAAGAAAGAGAGTTGTTGCATGATGAGAGAGGAAGGGGAGAAGCGATTCATTGTGAGAGAGGATAACTTGGTTTTTTTATTTTACAAAACTCCTATTACTGTCTTTTTTGTTTTTATTAACATATAATAATAAATCTATTCTTCCTATTCCCAATAAAAACATTAATAACCATAATAAAATACATTATTTATTTTGTTTCCCCCATGTGCCAATACAGCATAAGTTATGTGCCGTGC